CCCCCCCACGCTAGATCAGGGCCAGAAGTCTGAACTGAAAATGAAAAAAAGATTTGAAACCTAAAAAAATAAGATTGGAATCTGAAAACACACCGAGCTCTGACGTGTGTGTAAAGTCAAAACATATCAACTAACATCAACAAAGCATCACTTCCTTTTTCAAGTTTGCAAAAGTTAAAAAAAAAGGGATATCAGATACATTTTGACCTTCAACTAAGATCAGAAACATTCTAATAACAAAAGTATAAAATGAGACGATTAGTGAGTGGTGTTGACATTAAGAAAGAACTGCTACCAAAAATATATTTAATAAATAGACTAAAGATCTTGGTATGGTACACGCCAAAAAAAATGGAAGGAATGTTTACAACTCGCAAACAAAATTCTCCCAAATGAAAATTTACGTTTAATTCAGTAAACATTAATGACAAGAATATACGATAGCAGAGGCAAAGGTTTGACACCAGCTCCACAGATAAATGTTTAAAATGCGTCACTCAGAGTGACTCCCTCATACATGTCTGTTGGTGCCGTGATGAAGTCAAAAAGACTTAGGAGAACATTGAGAAATGGATTCCCAGAAGCTGCATTTGTAAAGTTAATTTTTTTTCATGCAAATTCTAAATATTTAAATATATTTTTATTAAAATTAAAAAAAAATAGTTTTAATACATCTGCTCCTTTTTCCTAATTAAAAGAGTTAAACATCAGTTGGTATTTGCTGCATGTTAAACTGAGTTTTAAACAATTATTGAAAGCGCTGAAGATATCTGTTGGTTAATTATATATAATTATAATTAGAATTAGAATGAATTACGTATGTTTTACCACAGTCTCCTGTGGTTTCTCCCCGGAACAAAAATTAACACAAACAAAATTCCTAAAATATTTTACTGTCAATCAAATAGTTTCCTGCGATGACTTCCTCAAACTCTCTGCAAACATTGAGCTCTAATTAAGTGATCAAACTGATTACAGGTGCTTTCACAGGTGCAGCCTTTTAGTTTTGTCTGATGTTGATAACTGTGTAGTTATTTACAAAAAATGTTTTTAAGAAGTACATACGGGTAAAGCTAGCATGTGGAAAGAGCTATTTATTTGGTGTTTCACTGTGAAAATTACATTTTTTTTCTTAAGTTCATACAGTTTTGAATAAAGTGTTAAAAAAAGTATTTCGTATTTCGCGTGAATGGTTGTGCTTTTGTGTTAAATACTTTAGTTTCCAAAAAAATAAAGCTTGTCAGTCGAGTTAAGAGAAACTTTTGTGAAAACAAACTTCACGGACATCATTTTGCAAAGTGGACGGTTGATTTTAATAATATTCTGACAAACATGGTTCAGTCATGTAAGATGATAATTGATTAAAATAAAATAACTGTAAACGGTAGTTCTGTGTAAGATGTATATCTGTGTAAATGGTAGTTCTGTGTAAACAGTATATCTGTGTAAACGGTAGTTCTGTGTAAAATGTATATGTGTAAACGGTAGTTCTGTGTAAGATGTATATCTGTGTAAACGGTAGTTCTGTGTAAGATGTATATCTGTGTAAACGGTAGTTCTGTGTAAACGGTATATCTGTGTAAACGGTATATCTCTGTAAACAGTATATCTGTGTAAACGGTAGTTCTGTGTAAACGGTAGTTCTGTGTGTGACGACCCCTCCCTTCCACCAGGGGTCTGTCTGTTTCCTCTCAGGTTGTCTTCCAGGATGTTAATCGGCCACTGATGGGCGACACCTGAGTTGGGTTGGTCCCAGCTGTAAAGGCTGCCCCTCTTCTGTGGCTGGGCCTCGCTGCGCAGTCCCTCTCGGGGCGCATCTCCTCTCAGCCTCCTGTTTGGAGGACCTGGCTGTTAATTTGTTTAGTTTAGTTTATGTCTGTTAGTTTGTACTTTAAATAAACGCCTATTTATTACTTTTAACTCGTCTTGTCTCCCTCATGTTACGACTTTTTGAGCCGGGTCGTGACATGTGTAAGATGTATTTCTGTGTAAACGGTAGTTCTCTGTTCTCTGTGCTGCCTCCTGGCTTCGTTTTCAGGTCTTCACAGCCTCCATGTAGCTCTCAAACCTCTTCCCCAAACATGTGGTGGCTTGACTTTACTATTTGTTTTTCGATTTGCATCGCCATGAGAACAGGTCTACCCTCTGGAAGGCGCGTCCGTAACCGATGACGTGCTGGTCTTCAGTCGATGGCGTTTAAAAGCAGCGCGGAGAGGTGGACACAATAACAGGAACACCAGTGTTCACATGATGCAGCCTTTTAAACAAAATGCAAACTGATCTAACATCTCTGATACAAGATGAGCTGAAGAAGTAATTATGATGAGGATGATGATGGTGAAATTAGCAAACAGCTGGGACAACTTTAATTTAATATCATCTGTCCGTGATATTAATATAGTTTTTCTGTGTTTGTGTAAGAGCAGATTGGCAAATCTGTGCTTTTCAGAGTGAAATATCGGCAACAACAAAACTGCGTCTCTTATTTCCTGCCTTCATCAGAACACGTCACACGAATAATATCAAATACTGCAGCTCAGTCGCTTCAAACTCTACGTTCTCCTCGAGCGTCAGTTTGGAACGCTGCAGAGAAGACGAGTCAGCGTCCACATGTCACATGTACGGTGTCTTTTCAAAATAAACTTGATTCTTCAGAGGAAGTTGGGTTTATGCAACAACACTGCTGAGGGGACAGAGAAGGATGACAGCGATGTTGAAGCTGTTTGGCTGCAGGCGATCTTCACTTCTGTGAGGGATTTAAGTTTTAAAGCTCCTAATTATGGATATAATGTGATACAGTATATTTACTTGTAGGAGTCTGGTCATTTCATGCATTAAGTGTCTGTGAGAGGGGGTTTGAGGAATGTGCTGGAGCGGGGGTTGTGTGAAAGTGGCTGGGAGAGGTGTGAAGTTTAGGACAATGGGGCATAGGCTCAGGTGGGGCTTGTTGGACTTCAGCCAATCAATGAGCTGAGGAATGCAATTTTGAGGGGACAAAGGGTTTGAAACTCTGGGGGTTTTCAGATCTTCTGCTGGCCACCGAGGGGGCAGACCAGCCTTCTGGGTGGCTCGGATTGGATCTCACATTTCATTTTATATATATGTTTGTTTTGTTATTAGTGGTGTGATTCAGTTTGTAACTGTTTGTATCTGTTTTTATAATAATAATAATACATTGTATTTATATAGCGCTTTAAAAGGCACTCAAAGACACTTTACATGTTAAAAACAGAAACAATAGAAGCATTTATAATAAGAACAAAATATACGACATAACAGTAAGAAAAAAAAATAAAATAAACATGAAAAGAAAGAGAAAAACATACATGACTGACTTTAGAGGTTAAAAGCTGATTTAAATAGGTGAGTTTTAAGTGCAGTTTTGAAAGTGGCGAGTGACGGAGAATGTCTGAGGTGTTGGGGCAGGGAGTTCCAGAGGGAGAGGGCAGCAACGGAGAAGGCCCTGTCCCCGCAGGTCCGATGCTTGGACAGAGTAGGGGGGGTAAGGAGGTTGGCGTCGGCAGATCTGAGGTTGCGGTTGGGAGTGTGATGGTACAGGAGGTCCGAAAGGTATGAAGGGGCAAGGTTGTGGAGGGCTTTGTAAGTGATGAGGAGGATCTTGAACAGGATTCTTTGCTGTATGGGGAGCCAGTGGAGGTTTTGAAGGACTGGGGTGATGTGGTCTCTGGTGTGGGAGTGGGAGAGCAGACGGGCAGCTGAGTTCTGAATGTATTGTAGTTTATTGATGATTTTGGTGGGTGAGCCGTACAGGATGCTGTTGCAGTAGTCCAGTCGAGAGGTGATGAAGGCGTGGATGAGTGTTTCAGCGGCTGCGGAGGAGAGGGAGGGACGGAGACGGGCGATGTTTTTGAGATGAAAGAAGACGGTTTTTGTGATGTGATTGACGTGGCGTTCATATGAGAGAGTTTGATCGAAAATGATCCCGAGGTTACGGACATGTGTGGAGGCAGGAACAGTGATGCCATCGATGCAGAGGGAGAAGTTGTGGTGGGAATTGTTTAATGATTTGTGGCCGATGATGAGGACTTCAGATTTGTCGGTGTTGAGTTTGAGGAAGTTGGCTTGCATCCAGGTTTTTATATCTGTGAGGCAGTTGGTGATGGTGGAGTGGATGGTGGGGGTGATGGATTTGGTGGAGATGTAGAGCTGGGTGTCGTCAGCATAGCAGTGGTACTGGAGACCATGGTGGCCTATGATGTCACCAAGGGGGAGCAGGTAGAGAATGAAGAGGAGGGGACCGAGTACTTAACCTTGGGGGACACCTTGAGAGACTGGGGCTGTGTCAGACTTGAATTTGTTGATGCTGATGAACTGTTCACGGTCGGAGAGGTATGATTTAAACCAGGAGAGGGCTGTGCCAGTGATGTGGAGGGAGGACTCGAGACGTGAAAGGAGGATGGAGTGGTTGATGGTGTCGAAGGCTGCGCTGAGGTCGAGCAGTATAAGGATGTTGAGGGAGTGTTCATCAGAGGAGAGGAGGAGATCGTTGGTGACTTTGATGAGGGCAGTTTCTGTGCTGTGATGAGATCTGAATCCGGATTGAAATGGTTCATACAGTTGGTTTGAGTCCAGGTGGGTTTTCAGTTGATGGGCAACAGTGCGTTCCAGTATTTTAGACAGAAAAGGGAGATTGGAGATGGGTCTGTAATTGTTGTGAATGTCGGTGTCAAGGCCAGGTTTTTTGAGGATGGGTGTGACTGAGGCGAGTTTGAGGGCGGGAGGGACGGAGCCAGTAGACAGGGAGGAGTTGATGACAGAGAGGAGGTGCGGGCAGAGGGCCGGGAGACAGGCCATAACTAAAGTGGAAGGGATAGGATCGAGGTCACAGGTCGGAGTCTTCATGCCAGAGAGTGATTTATTGAGATCCGAGGGGGAGATGAGAGAAAATCGGAAGAGTGACCGGTCAGTTAGTGGAGGATTTGCAGATACAGGGTTGGACAAAGCGGGGCTGGAAGTGACCAGTTGGTTGTAGATGGTGTCGATTTTAGCTTGGTAGAACGTCAGAAAGGAGTTGCATTTCTCTGCTGTGGAGGAGTGGGAGAGATTGTCCATAGGTTTGAGGAGTTTGTTTATTGTGGAGAAGAGGACCTTGGGGTTGGTGGAACCAGAGCGGATGATGCCAGAGTAGTAGGTGGAGCGAGCAGAGTTTAGAGCCAGTTTGTATTGGTGTATGTGTTTCTTGTACGCCAGGGTGTGAACTGTGAGGCCGGTTTTTTTGGAGAGTCGCTCTAGTCTGCGTTTCCGGGATTTCATGAGGCGGAGTTCAGGGGTGAACCAGGGAGCAGTGTGGGTGAATGAGACAGTTCTGGTTTTGAGAGGGGCAAGCTGATCAAGGCAGGAGGATAGTGTGTTATTGTAGAGGTTGACCAGGTCTGAGGGGGAGGGGCTAAGGGAGGGGGAGAGTGTGGAGAATTTTTCAGTGAGACAGGCTGACAGGGATGAGGGGCAGACAGACTTGATATTTCGGAGAGTGATGGTGCGCGTGAGTTTGGGTTCTGGGATTGGGATGTCGATCTCCATGATGATGGCTAGATGGTCGGAGATGGTGAGGTCATAGCCGGAGAGGTGGTTGATGGTGATTTCAGTGGAGCAGACCAGGTCCAGGATGTGCCCGCGGTTGTGGGTGGGGAAGTCGATGTGTTGAGTGAAGTTGAAGCATTTAAGCAGGTCCAGAAATTCGGTGGCAGTTTTACAGTCTGAGGAGTCAATGTGGATGTTGAAATCACCAAGCAACAGGATGGAAGGTGAGACGGAGCAGAGCTGGGTGAGGAATTCAGATAGGTCAGAGAGGAAGGCAGGGTTGGGTTTGGGGGGGAGGTAGATAATTGCAATGACCAGGGGTTTAGGACCAGAGAGTTTGAATGTGAGCTGTTCAAATGAGGGTGGACTGTCGATGTTAGTCAGTCTGGTCTTGATATGTTGGCGGTGAAGAGCGGCAATTCCTCCACCGCGGCCATCAGGGCGTGGTTTATCCAGGTAATGATATCCAGTTGGGGTGGTTTGATTGAGTGCGTAGTAATCCAGGTGTTTTTGCCAAGTTTCAGTGAGACAGAGGATATCAAGGTTGTTGTCAGTGATGACTTCATTGATGATTGGGCCTTTGTTGCTTAGTGATCGAGTGTTGAACAGAGCAAGCTTCATGGAGTGTTTTGTGGTTGGTTGTGAGGTTTTGGGGAGGGTTCTGAGGTTGGCTGCATTCACGTGCTGTTTGTTATGATGACATAATGAGGGAGTGGTGGTACGCCGATGCTGAGTCCACAGAGACGGGATGGAATTGACAGAAGTGGGGTTGTAGATGATGAACTTGTGCTGGGAGCCGATATGAACATCACTGGGAGGGATGTAGCTGAGGTTGTTTTTGTTTATGGCTTTGTGAATGCGTTG